GATTGACCTCAAATTTTGCGTACAAGTCATATTCGACATTACGGACCTACTCCAACTTTTGGAATTGGATTCCGACCCCGATATCAAAAAGTCCACCTCCGGTCAAACTTCTCAAAGACCTTCAAATTTCTATCTTTAGCCAAATGGTTCCAAAATGACCCACGGACCTCCGAATTCACTTCCGATCGCTCCCCCAACTCCAGAATCACCATACGGAGCTATTCACAGTTCGGAATCCCAAACGAACATCGATAACACTGAAATGCACTTCAAGCCAAACTTAAGAAATTTCTCCAAAAATGCTAACTTCCTCAATAGGCGCCAAAATGCTCCCGGGTTATCCAAAACCCGAACCGGGCATACGCCCAAGTCCGAAATCATCATACAAACCTGTTGGAACCTTCAGATCCCGATTCCGAGGTCGTTTACTCAAAAATCCCATCCTAGTTCACTCTTCCAACTTTAAGCTTCTGAAATGAGAATTCTCTTTCCAAATCAACTCTGGACTTCCCGAAATTCAATTCCGACCACGCGCACAAGTCATAATACCTGAAATGAAGCTGCTCACGGCCTCAGGCTGCTAAACGGAGTGCTAAAGCTCAAAACGACCGGTCGGGTCGTTACAGAACTCTTCATGATATAAAAATAAAGCAAGGACAACCAGCTAAGAAAATGACCTGGCATCTGAATCCATCTTAGTGAGTCTGTGAAGTAATTAAACACACATTCGTTTGTTTGTCTTAGTAGGCTGGTTAAGTAATTACTTGATTAATGTTGAAATGATCATTACAGGAAGATTACAATTACATGCTCCAATTCTTGGGAAGGCTACTGCAAACTGTTACTTACAAGTTTTCACTTTTCCATTTATGTCCATCTAAGGTTATTGACTTTAAAGCTAAATGTTGATGGTAGAAATAAAAGGTATACAAAAATGTAAAGAACACCAGGTGACTTTCCTCTGTGTGTGTGTATCTCTGAGTACTTCTGTGTGTGTACATTATATGTATATGTTGCTAAAAAATGAATCCGACAGAAGCAAATATCATCCTAGAGGAAAAGAATTATTATCACTAAATTACGATTATGTTGAATTAAGTATAAGATGATACAGAGACAAGAGTCTCATTGCACTATCCAGGTAAACATTATTGTTCAGTAATAGTGCTTTTGGGATTGAGTTAAGCGCAAGTGCCATACTTTTCAATCTGGAACACTTACTGTAGTTGCCATTTTTATTTGCTCAAGTTGTGTTGATATTGTTCAAAGAAACCAGTTATGAAAAAATAACTATTTATTGAAAGCAACAGTTTGTTTCAAGCCAAAGATTTGTCAGACTACTGTTCTTATCTCTGTGCTTTCTTCCTTTTCTTGTTTACTTGCCTGAGAGTGACTGTTTAGATTTGCATCCACAAAGGGGAGGGACAACATAATTGTAAAGCTCATCCATGTCTAACCATGAGGTTGGGGATTCGAGTCACCAAAGTTGGAAAAGGCCAATTCTATTAGAAAGAAGTGATTCATTTTTAAAAAAAATTGAAAAAATGCCTGGTTAAATCCAAGAAGATGAAATAAGAAGACCTCCAACTCATCCTCCAATTCATCCAGATTACTATTTGAGCCCATTTTTGTATTTTTGTCCTTGTTGAAGGGGTAAACCCTGCCTTTGTCATTTGTTCCTTGAAAAAGCGAAGTTTACGTGCTATTTCTCCACATCTTTTAATCTATAGAAGTAAATACATACATAAGTTAAATGTGAATATCTAAATAGATAGTGAGTAGTATTGGTGCAAAGTTTATCGAAACTATGATGCTAGTGGTACTCAGACTTATAAGAACTGAGTAGAGCATGTTTAGGAAATTGAATGTTTCAAATTGATGAAGTAGAAAGGCAGTGCTGATGAAAAGTCTGGTCAGTTCGAACTACTTCATTTAGACATTCAGATATTACACAGTAAATCACAGAAAAAGGAAGAACACATTTGAACAATTTATCTTAATCTCCTATATGATACAGAAGAGAAAGGCAAAAGCTTTTAAGCCTTTTTTGAAACAAAATTCCACCTAACACTTTCTGTTAGTGTTTGTTTGCATATTATTTGCCTTTCTCTGCTATGCAAACAAATGACTCACATGAAGAACCGACATTGGATTAATGATGCCTCCGCTGAATTAAATGTACATGTGACACTTTTATCTTTATTTCTATAATATGAGTTTATAGAAATAAATATTGAAAGTTAAAGCCTGCATAATTTTTTGTAGGATAAGGTGAACGAATATATTGCTGAACAAATCCAAGAAATTGAAGAGGATACCGATTTGGACCCGATTGTTAATGCTGCATTTGTGGTTCAAATGAGGCAAGTCGTTCTAGACTGGATAACATCACAGTAAGAAACTTTGTCTAACTCTTGTAAAAATAAATTCGTTGGTTGATATTGTTCAATATCATGTTTGTATTATAGTTTTCAATTACAATTTATTTAGTTCTCTATCACCTGAGTTCAAAATCACCAAATTGAGATATTATGATCATAACATGTTATGCTTTCCGTGCTCTTTTATGTGAGATGCGCAACAATGGATGCTAAGTTAAATAGAAATACAACAGGGGATAACGATATTATTTTTTGAACAGTCCCCCAGCCTTTACAAATTACAATTGTGCATTGTAATCACTACAACCGAGAAAGAGCATCGTTTTGCTTAATAGTTTGATAAAGAAAAAAAATTGGAGTGCCTTGAAAGTTACTTGGAATTGTTATTTGTCCTGGTCCTGGTACTTGAAAATTGACTACTCAGGCATGTATAGTACATGGTAGGATTTCTATAGTAGGTAGTTAGCTTTCCTCTTTTATTTTACATGGTGCAAGTTCTTACTTGATAATTTCTTAGCTTTAGCTTTGGTTATAAGAATCTTTTTATATCATTCATTGGTGCCCAAATTTTTCTTCTTTTTTTTGATATGTACTTGTGTACTTTATAATTTTCTTTTATAAAAAATATAATTATAATTTATCTTCTTTTGCAGGATAAGGATGAATAAACCAACATAGCTGACAATATGGTTCATCTAGTGCTCAAGCTACTAGAAGAAGATTTACTTTTGGGTTGTTATTAGATTAGAAACTATGACCATGTAGATGCTCTTGTTTTTATTTTTAAGTAAGAACATGTGTTTTAGTAGTATTTAGTTCTTGAAAGTATATAAACACTTGGTGCATCGGTTGTATTGACCTTTGCAAATATATATTTTATATATANNTGATTTGTGTATGTAGCAACTACACATTTATTATTGCTAGCTGTACAACAGAAAATATAATATTGTTGGCAAAAAGTGGTTTGTGCCCACAACAATAGTTATTGCGAAAAGCCTTTATAACAGATTATAACTACCCTCCTGTCAATTTTTTGCCACAAGTAGTGTTGTTGCGTAAATAATAATAATTTATCGCAACAATAATTTTGTTGCTAAATATTTTTATAAGCCACAAGTGTATAATCAAAATATAATTTTATGGCAATAATATTTCTTGTTGCGTTAAGTCAGTTTTTGGCAATGACAATTTTTGTTGTTGCAAAAACTTTTCCCATCAGCATTTATTGCAACGGCATGCAACAACTTTTTTGTTGTTGCCAAAAGTACTTTTCGCAACAATATCCAATATATGGCAACGAAAAAATTTGTTGCAAATTTCACACTTTCTTGTAGTATATGTTGAAATGTAGTCGCCGAAATGTGTTTGGTAGTGTATATCTAATTTTTAAGAAAAAACGATAAAAAATCGAAAAATCGATAAAAACAGGCAAACCCGAATCGATAGAACACCGAGTTAATTGGATTAATTTGGTTCTAGTAAAACCGACTTACTTGGTTTTGTTTCTTTTACGAAAAACCCGGTCCAAACTGAACCTTGAACGCCCCTAATTGCGAGCAATTCAAAATTTTATGCTAGTTCTTGCATGCAAAATTAATGAGCTAATTTAATTTGCTCCTAGTCAAAGAGCCAATTTGACTTTTTTATTTTTGTAAGAAATTTCGTAATTTGATACTCACCTTAGTTTTTGAAAGAAAAAAAAAATGAAGCTTAGATCATTCAGTACCGCATAAAATAATCCAACATCAAAAGCAACTTTAATTTTTAAAATAATCATGAATATCGGTCAAAGATGACTTGGCATAAAAACGCAAAACAAACGTAATAGGAATATCTAAATTGAAAAGCTTGCTAGACTAAAGCTTATTGTTAGCTTGGAGTACTATTCCCATATATAAAACTTTTGCCTTTCCCTTTTTTCTTTTATGTATTTATTTGTTTATTTATTTCTTGATTGATTAAGATGATAGCCTTTGTCATGCATGATATTTTCTTTTGATTTTTTATTCTATATTTAATACTCGTATTGAAATTCGATTTCGCGCTGAAAAATTTTGTATTGAAGTCAAATACTCCCTAAGTAAAGGTGACTTCACCCCAAGACTCCACATACTCAACTTATACTATGGTAAACAACAACTTTTTTTATCTACTCCCACCTACTACCAATTGAAAATTGAATATATAGAGTGACCTACCTAATGAACTCACCAGTTATTTATTATAATAACTTTCTTATGTTGTACTATCATAATGTTCAATTAAAGAATATATACTTACTCCGCTACGGTGGGGATGCAACATAGAATTACCGGGTTCAACTGAACACAGTACTTTCAACGCGGAGCATAAATTTCTATGTTAAAAACTACTAAAATTGTAATAAATTCTCCCTCTGTTCCAGTTTATGTGAACCTATTTCTTTTTTGGTCCGTTCCTAAAAGAATGACCCCTTTCTAAACTTGATAACAATTTAGCTGAAACTTACATTTCTACTCCTAATGAGAAACTTTTATAACCACACAGATACTCTGGTCCCTTTTTGACTTGTTTAGGACCATAAATTCTAATAGTCTTTATTTTTTCTTAAACTTCGTGCCCAATCAAACATGTTCATATAAATTGAAACGGAGGGAGTAATAAATATGAACCCATAAACTTTAAATGTTGAACCATAGGACTAAAATTCTAGCCACTAGACAAAAAGATTCCAAAACAAGGGGCTATTGCTAGAAGACAACACTTTATATAGTGATCACCTTATCTCCAATTACTTCAAACCAAAAACCAACCATGAAAAAGGCAAAGGTAGTGTTCATTTCAACACCAGCACTTGGGAACCTTGTTCCAACCATTGAGTTTGCTAAACACTTGACTCAAACAAACCAAAACTTTTCAGCCACCATACTCTTAATCAACATCCCTCAAAGGCCACTCGTTCAATCCTACAATGACTTCCTCGCCGCCACTGCCCCCACCGGAAACGTCCATTTCCTCTCCCTCCCCACAGCGGATCCGCCGTCCCTCAATCAATTTGAGGCCACTATAGGCTTCTTATCACTATTGATAAAAAATCATACATCACAAGTCAAAGATGCACTTGTTAACCTTATTTCAGACTCAGACTCGAGCTCGGGCCAAGTTGTTGGATTCTTTATTGACATGTTTTGTACCCCGTTTATTGATGTTGCTAAGGAACTAAACATCCCATGTTATCTTTACTTTGCTTCCCCTGCTACTTTCTTGAACTTCATGTGTTACCTCCCAACTTTAGATGCTCAAGTTAGTAATAACACTGAGTTCAAAGATTCAGCCACTCATTTCAATATTCTTGGTTTTTCCAATCCTGTCCCTGTAAATTTTTTCCCTTCATTTATGCTAAATAGAAAAATAGATGGTTACTCTTGGTTCTTACATCATGCAAGAAGGTATAAAGAAACCAAGGGTATTGTTGTAAATACATTTCAAGAACTTGAACCTTATTGTTTAAACTCATTGTTAAATGCTGCTGCTGCTGATGTTGTACCACCAGTTTATCCTATTGGACCAGTGCTAGACCATAATGGACCAGCTCAATGGCATCAAGATTTGTGGGGTCATGAAAATGTAATGAAATGGCTTGATAATCAAGATCCATCATCAGTAGTTTTCTTGAGTTTCGGAAGTATGGGAAGTCTTAATATCTCTCAAGTGAAAGAAATAGCAAAAGGTTTGGAAAAATCAGGGCATCCTTTTTTGTGGGCAATTAGGGAAGCACCAAAGGACAAGAGAGAACTTCCAAATGATTATACTAATCTAGAGGATATTTTACCTTGTGGTTTTTTAGAAGCAACACAAGGGAAAGGATTAATATGTGGGTTGGTCCCACAAGTGACAATCTTGGCCCACAAGGCCATTGGAGGATTTGTGTCACATTGTGGTTGGAATTCAATTCTTGAAAGTTTATACTATGGGGTGCCAATTGGGACATGGCCTATTTATGCCGAGCAACACTTGAATGCATTTGAAATGGTGAAAGAGTTAAATTTGGCTGTGGAAATCACAATGGATTACAGAGATGGCAACACATTGGTTTTATCACAAGAAGTTGCAAATGGGATTAAAAATTTGATGGATGGGGATGGTGAGGTGAGACAAAGGTTTAAGAAAATGAGTGAAAAATGCAAGCAAGTTTGGAAGGAAAATGGCTCATCTTCTGTTTTTCTAGGACAGTTGATTGATAAATTAATGGCTGTGATTTGAAAAAAAGAGTTTAGTTAGTCCAACTTGGTGGCTTTGACTACAATAAAGTACAAGTATTGGAAGAATAATATTTGAAAAAAAAGTAAGAATAAAAGGGTTGTCTACTTTATTGTAACTTCTCCTAATTGTTTAATGTAAAGATTATTTTGCTTTTCATGTGTCTGTTTCTCTATCGAAAAAGAGTAAGGTCTGCGTACTCAATATCTTCTCTAGACCTCACTTGTAAGATCACACCGGCATATTGTTATTGTTGTTATTACATTTTCGTCTGTTCCTTTAACAATCTGTATAATCTATAAAGAACCGGAAGAGGTTGAGTGACCCTAGCAAAAAAACTACCGTCCAGTTGTTAGCAATCAAATAAAAAAAAAAAAATTACAATACTACTGTCCAGTTGCTTAGGAATTATGTCATTTGGGGAATATTATTATTAATGATTTAACTATTATGCTGACAATATAAAAGATTTTTTCATTATTAATGTATTGTTGCCCTGTCGTAATGAGTCAATTATCATGTGTAATTGCATGTTACTAATTCATACTTGTCCAATAACTAGTCACCTGCAATTGGAATTTATTTTTAACATTATCAATATAAAGTACAGTAAATAAATATCCTAACACTAGGAATGGTCTCAACTCTCACGTGAAAAAGTTCTAACACTAGCACGTTTTGGGAATTTCACAGTGACAAAAGAGAAGAGGACAGACAAAAGTTTCACGTTCATGTATATATCATCTATAAGGTTACAATAATACTATAGTTCCAAACTTAAAGTATCTATGCTCCTACAACATAAAAATTGCTAACTACACAATCCTATTTCCATCTGATGGGAACAAAATCTGTTGGGATTTCATTTGTTGAGAGTACGATATAAGAATCTTCAGTTCCATACCAATTATGAGGAGTGATCGGACATCCGAGAGGGGACATGTAAATAGGGGCTAATGTAGCCGGAATCCAGAACTTGAATGTAGCGGAGGCACATGAGCAGATTGCTCAACGCGCAATTGATTTTTGATCTTAAGGTTTCAAAGCAAAATATATGAGTATCTGTTTTAACATATATATTTAGAATTTTTGCCGAGGTTAACGGGTCGATTAACCCCTTTACTCAAAACATAGGTCCTTCTCTGAATACAGCCCCGGGTTTAACCCAATATTTTCGAGACGAAGTATAAATATATAGTATGTGAAAATTGATTTTATACACTTATTAGGTACGACCCATAATTTTAACATATAATCGTACAATGAGTCCAGTATAAAGAACCGAAAAATTCAAACCTATCAAGTTTAAATTTTGAATTCGCCACTACATTCAAAGCAATAAACCTAAGCAATTCGGAGGGTCACGTGAAATCTTATAGCCAATAGAGCTTTGCCCTGTTTGTTGCGTGTATCTTTCTTCATTAACTGCGAGAGATATTGATAGAGATGTATAGATATTGTTAGATGATGCAAAATTGTTTACATCTAATCACCATTAATTGGTCATTCAACTAGTAAAAATTGTGAATACAATCATATATTTTTCTATTATATAGAAAAGGAAAGATGGTTGACCAAGGTCATATATGTCATTTCATAAAAAATTCATGTTTGTATTTCTTAAATGTAAAATACACGTGGACCCCATATTCCTCTAGCCACAATTTTCCTTTAAATGCGCTATGCATGTGTTGATTACACTATTTGTGTAGTGCAAATGCTCATTTCCAATCTTTTTCTCATTTTGAAAAATTATTAATTTTTGTTTTATTTAAATAGAAGTTTCCGTAGAGAAAATAAAATTAATTTTTAAATAATACAACAACAAAAAGAAGTATCGATATTTACGAGATTTTCATATTTACCCATATTATCTTAAAGCAATTTGAAAATAAAAATTAAATAATTTTCATCTACCATATTATTTGAAGACGATTTCAAACTAAATATTTTTATATTCAAAAGTAACTTTAAAATATATAGCTTGTTAAACCTCAAAAGTTAATTAACTAAACACCAACAAATAATAATTTTAATAAAATTGCAATGTTGGACCCGTATACGGGCCTTTCCTCATCTAGTTTTCTATATAGAAAAGCCATGATGGTCGAGCGAGGGCAAAATTGTCAAGTCTTCCGGATTTGTGGCATCTCTTCAGTAATTTCTCTCCCTCGTTGACATTGAGTGTTGTTCATAATTGCCCTTTTCCTCCTATTGTTGAACAAGTATTATTCTTTGATTTATTGTTTTCTCTTTGGCCGACTGTTACAGATTGAAGAATTATAACGACAAGTAAATAAAAATGGGACTAGAAGTTCACTTTAAAATGCCTACACGCTATTCCTGAAGTGGTAGTACTAGGTGAATTTATTGAAGCTTTGTTAAATAATACTAAGTTCTCTCACTTGATTCTTGCGATGGTTTCAAATTTTCTGGAGATTTGACTAATCAGCTTGCATACATTATGTTTGGACTAACTCTTTTATTATATAAGTCTGAAAATGGAGATTAAGTTAGGGGAGAAACCACACTAATTCAAAAATGGGATAATTAGGTAGAGTCCATCATGTGTTTGATTATATAATCAAAACTAAAATCCTTATAGAAAATGATTAAAGCAGAGGAGTTTCATATTCCTGTGTGTCACGATTCGAAATTCCCGCCCTCGAGATCATGATGGCGCCTAACATTTCATTTTCTAGGCAAGCCAACGTTAGAATAGCAAAACAAATTAGTAGATACCAATTAAACTGAATAAACCGAAATAGAACTGAAATAAAGTGAGAAAAATCATAATAGCCACAATATCTAGAAACAATCCTAGAAATGGTGTCACAAGTGCACGAACGACTAGAATAATATAGATAAGTGTCTGAATAAAAGTAAAACTGTCTGAAATACAATAAACAACTAGAATAAGGTAGAAGGGGACTTCAGGGCTGCGAACGCCGAGCAGCTGTACCTCAAGTCTCCAATCCGGCAATCAATCCGAGCAATCTACTGACAGCCGCTAGTACTGACTCCAAATGTGCATAAGAAGTGCATGCATACAACCAACCCCACGTACTCTATAAGTGCCGAGCCTAACCTCGACGAAGTGGTGACAAGGCTAAGTCGGGTTACTTACAATAACCTGTATGCAATATAATAATAACAACATGAAAGGAATACAAGATATTAAGGCAGTTATCTTATGAAAACTAATTCAATCCTCGGAATTGGTAGAACCAGAAATACCAGTACTCAAAATCTCGTATGAAAGCATCGAAAGATAACACAGTGCAACAATGAATACAAAACACACAATCCATTGTAGCGCGCAATCCGATCCCACTATACAAACACAATTCTCCCTTATTTCACCTGTTGCGGCGTGCAATCTGAACCCACCGCACAAACACAATCCTCTTTTATTTCACCATATCAATATCAATAATAACATGTAAAATTCGTCGCGGCGCAGTCGATTCCACCATATCAATAGAATCAATATCATATTCCTCTCTTATTTCATCATATCAAAATCACATATAAATTCGTTGCGGCATGCAACCCGATTCCACCATATCAATATGAATCCTCCCTTATTTCACCTGTTGCGGCGTGCAACCCGATCCAAACAAAATCAATAAGTACAATCAATTTAACAACTCAAATCACAAGAATCTCTATGATTAAATAAATATGAAAGCAAGGTTATAAAGGAACCTCATACCAAAGCAAGGAATGCTACAATTAATACAAAGCAACAAGACAAGGAGAATATATGACAACTAAAGTGTACAAGTAAGACAATTAAGGCAAGTAGCAATTAATCATAGAAACATGGGAGAACCGAACATTTTAACATGAGAGAAATAAGTGTCAACTAGCAAGATAAGACATAGGAAGCAATTAAAGCATATAACAGTTAAGACATGGAATAAAATAAATAATTAATAAAATGTGGGAAAGCATGGAAACAAGTATTTTGACGGCGCATATACACTCGTCACCTTGCATATAGGCCGCTACACATGTAATTCACATAGCACATGGCTCAAGGGTTCCTATTCCCTCAAATCAAGGTTAGACCCAACACTTACCTCGCTCCGCAAGCAAATCAAAGCTCAATCGGTGCCTTTCCTCTAAAATCCGCCTCCAAACCAACTGAATCTAACCAAAATCGACTCAACAACATGAAATAATGCTAGGGAAATCAATTACAATACATAAAGTTAAGATCTTTACACTTTTCTCAAAAGTCAACCCGGGGCTCGCTTGGTCAAAACACGAGATTCGGACCAAAACCCAATTACACATTCATCCCCGAGCCCGATTATGTAATTTATTTCGAAATCCGACCTCAATTTCATAAAAATCCCTAATTCTACCCAAATCCCTAATTTCTACCATGAAAATCGTAGATTTGATATTGAAAATTTATGAAATGTAATGGCTAATTGAAAATAAGTTGATTTAAAGTCACTTACTAATGAATTTAGGAAGAAAATCTCTTGAAAAGATCGCCTCTAGGGAGTTTAGGGTTGAGAGTTTGAAAGAAATGAGCTAAATCACGTTTTTCCCCTCTTTTACCAACTGCGGATGTCGCAATTGTAATATTTTATTCGCAATTACGAACGTCGCAAATGCGAGAAAGAGGTCGCAATTGCGAACCCATACCACTCGCAAATGCGGACCATTCCTTCGCATATGCGAAGGTAGCCCAGGACACATTGAGTCGCAAATGCGACTCTGCCTTCGCAAAAGCGGCAGTTGCTAGTTCGCAAATGCGAGACTCCCTAATCCAAACCATGCTAGCAAATGTGAAGCCTTGTTCGAAAATGCGAGATCTGCAACAGAGCACAAGCAACAGTAAAGGCATCAACTATTCTTCTAAGTTCAAAATCATCCGTAAACTATTCAAAACTCACCCGAGCCCCCCGGGCTCCAACCAAACATACATACAAGTGTAAAAATATCATACGAACTCGCTCGTGCGATCAAAACACCAAAATAACACCTAGAACTACGAATCAAACACCAAAACGAATGAAATTCTTAATGAAACTTAAGAACATACAATTTCTCAACCGGACGTATGAATTACGTCAAATCAACTCTGTTTTGTACCAAAATTTACAGACAAGTCATAAATACTGTAACAAACTCATCCCAAGTTGTGGAACAAAAATTCGAACCCGGTAGCAATAAAGTCAACTTACGGTCAAACTTAGAAACTCTTTAAACCTTTAAATAGCTAGTTCTTACCCAATTTTGTTAAA